TCACCTCCCGGGAGCTGTCATCGCTTTGCAATGTCGTTGAGCTCCAGCCCTTCATCTTTCCCCATCTTGGAGGAAGGGGTGCCATCTTTCTATCTGCAGGCTACTGTGCCTGCAGAGTGGGGTCATGGTGACTACTCTGTGCTGGGTGTGCTTGGTTATTTGAATCCTTCCCATCGTCCCAGTAAGAAAGCTAGAGAGGGCAGAGCAGACATCATTCACCTGCGGCCCACAGTCCGGCCAATGTTAAAACTGAATGTGGCCCCTGAGCCTGTGCTTGTCTGTTGTTGGTGGCCCAGAGACATAAAAGGTTGGGAACGGGGCTACGCTACCACATTAGGCCAGGTTAATGCGCAGCAGCCAGGGCCCGGAGCCCACAGCCCTTGTGCCTCTCGTGGTCTCGTGCCACTGCGGTGGCCCAGGCCTTCACAGCAGCGGAGCTACTCAGCAGCCCCTTATATTCTGCTTTTAGATTGAGACAAAGTCTCACTAAGATGCCTGGGCTGGACTTGAACATTCCACCCTCCTGCCTCATCCTGCCAAGGCACAGGGATAATAGGCATCTACCACTACACTCAGCTTGGTTCTGAGCTCTTGGCAAAGCAGCCCTCGATGGGCACAATCGCTAAATGCCCTATTGTACAAGGGTTTTTGCTGCCCCATGGTCATATGATACCAATCACACTAGGTTTAGAACTTATTTTAATTACTTACAAAAATACAAGCCAGGCTTTAAGATGCAGACTGCAATCAAGCAACCAAGGGGGATGAGCCCAGCCGAGGCAACTCAGTGTGTTAGTGAGAACTTGTCTCAGAATAAAAAATAAGAAGGATTGGAGATATGGGTCAGTGGTAAAGCTCCCTTGGGTTCAATCCCCAGTGCCACCAAATTTTTAAAATATCATTTATTTTATTTTTAAAATATTTGTAGGGCTGATGGTATAGCTCAGAGGACTAAGCACTTGCTTAGGTAAGCTCAGGAGCCAGGTTTCAATCCCTGGCTCCACAAGCCGTGCCGGCCCCATCCCTGGGTATGCTGAGCCAGAGGTGGAGTCCAGGCGTGGTGGCACACGCCTGTAATCCCAGCACTTGGGAGGCACAAGTCAGGAGGATCACTACTAATGTGAGACCCTGTACACACACACACACACACACACACACACACACACACAAAACCTAAAATTTTTTTTTTAATTTTTAAAGAGAAAAATAGGAAAGAAAGAAAGAAAGAAAGAAAGAAAGAAAGAAAACAGAATTGTATTATAAAAAATAATAGGAGGGCTGGCCAGATAGCTCAGCAGATTAAAGCGCCTGCTTAGGCAGATGCAGGGCCTGGGGTTCAATCCCTGCCTTGCTGTGCTGACCACCCCCCCCCCAGCACGATTGAAATTGGGTGGGGTGTGGTAGTGCATGCCTATAATCTCAACACTTGGGAGACTGAAAACAGAAGGATCACTGTAAATCCAATCTGTGTAGTGAGACCCTGTAGACCCTGTACTAAATACATCAAAAAATAGGAATTCAAAAATGGTTGTTATATTGTATGTGTTCAAATTAATTGTTTAGGTTATCAGATATAAGCATGTAAAATTGGTTCAAAAACATTGTAACAAATTAAAAAGGAGAAGAAATAAATTTAAGCATTAACTGCTTCTTTCAACAGACCAGCAGAAATCAACAGTACAATTATCCAAGCTATTCTGTACATATACATAATGTATCTTTTCCCCTTCCTTTTTTCTTTTGTTGTTCTTTTCTTCATTTCAGTTGTTCCTTCCCTTTGAACAGATTCTTTCCCTTTCATAGCATCTATTGTATCTTTCAGATTTTATTTACTCTTTCAGATTCTTACAATAGCAAGACAATCCAACATTTACATATGTGGGTCTGATTTCTTTCACTTATGAGGACAGTCTCTAGTTAAATCCATTTACCTATACAAGCCTCAGGCTTATCTTTTTTTGTAGCTAGGTAATACTGCATTATGTAAAAATATTACATCTTTTTTATCCATTCCTCAGTTGATGGGCATTTGGGTTGTTTCCAAGATTTAGCTATGACAAACCGTGCTGTTATAAACACCGGTGCGCATACATCGCTGTGGTACAATGTTTTCAATTCTTCTGGAAAAATACCCAGGAGAGGAATAGCTGGGTTCAATGGGACCCTAATCCTAGTTTTCTGAGGAATCTCCACACCAATTTCCATAGTGGTTATGTCAGTCTATGTTCCCACCAACAGTGGAGAAAGGCTCCTTTCTTACCCCAAAGCCCTTGATGACAGTCATTCTTTCTTGGGTGAGATGGAATCAGTGTTGTTTTCATTTGCATTTCTTGAATGACCAGTGATGCTGAATATTTTTTTATATATCTATTTGCCATTTGTATGTCTTCATCTGAGAAGTATCTATTCATCTCAGATGCCCATTTATGGATTGAGTCTTTGAATTTTGGGGTCCTGATTTTTTAAATTCTTTATATGTTCAAGATAGAAGGCCTATATCCAAGAGGCAGTTGGCTAAAATTTTTTCCCAATTCATGGGTTTTCTTTTCACTATGTGATTTCTTTTTATGTGCAGAAACTTTTCAAAAAGATGAGATCTCAATTGCTCGTTTTTTTTTTTTTTTTCTTTTTACACACTGGGGATCAAACTAAGGACCTTGCACTTACTAGGCAGGTGCTCATGCCGCTGAGCAGTCTCCCTTGTCCTCCAATTTTTGATTATTTTAAGTATTTCCTGTGTAGTTTGGTTTTTCTCCACGAACTCTCTACCGACCCAGATGTCTTCAAATACTTTCTACTTCAGTAGATTTAGTGTTTATGTTTTAACATTTAAATTTTTTATCCATTTTTACTTTAATTTAGTGCATAGCGATAGACATGGGTCTAATTTTAGTTTTTGGCATGTGAAAACACAGTTTTACCAGTACCATTTATTAAAGAGGCTATCTTTCTTTCAGTAAACATGTTTAGCCCCTTTGTCAAAGACAAGGTGGCTAAATGTGTCGGTAGTATTTATTTTCCTTAGGAGCACTGGGGATTGAACCCAGGGTCTTTGCTCCAAGATACATCCTCAGCCTCTTTTGATTTTTTTAAACCAGGGTCTGAGGCACACTGGCCAGGTTCAAACCTGCGCTCTTCATGAGTCAGCTTCCCAGAGTGCTGGGGAAAAAATATGAACCTCAGGTATCACATCCCCTCAAGTGTCTATCAAGGTGGAAGCACTGCTGGGGAGATGGCTCAGTGGAATAAGTGCTTCCCTGGCAAGCACAAGGGCCTGAGTTCTAATCCCCAGCTCCGGGAAAAAAAATCATAAATAAAAAGGTGGAAGCACTTTGCCAAGTGGAAATGGGTGCTCAGAGGGCTGCGCGCAGGCCGCAGCCGCGTGCAGCAGGAGCTGTCTGAGCATGTCTGAGCATGAGCTCTGCATCCCGAGGTGCAGCGTGGTCTCAGCCTCAGTGTCAGGCCTCCTAGCACACGGCCCGGCCGGTCCTGAAGCGTGAGACCACGCCAATGCTTGCTCTCTGGATCAGCTGCGCTGAGGTAACTGGGTCCCTCGCAGAGATTGGTTGGAAAACGAGACAAGGGACACACTCCCCCCCCATTCCTTTAGACTTACTGGATCATTTTATCAAATTAGCTAAAGGCACATTTTCCTGAAGCTGGGGTTCAGCAAAATGTCCTAAACTACCTGAGGACCGCAAACACAATTTGTAGAGGGGGAGGGAGGCTGAGTGGCCTGGCTGTGCCGTGATCTTTAGCTTACAGTCTAAAAAGATTCCCCTCCCTCTCTGCAGATGTCTGACTCTGCTCTGCACCAGGGCGATTCTGACGGTGAAAGCGTAGAACTCCCATCAGATTATCCAGACGCTGCGTTCTGGAAGGAAGAGTGTGGGTTATTGAAATAAGATGAGCCAGCGAGATGCAGGGAGGACCTCTGCTTCCAGTAACCATCTCCACCCCTCTACCATAGGAGGTCAGAATGCCGCACTCCCTTCTAGGGTGAGGGGACCAAGTTCCTAGGCTGGGGCAGATGCACCCCCCCTGCCCGAGGGACAGCTTCATTCTGGTGGCTGCACCTCTGCCTGGTCACTGTAGGGCACAGGCAGCTCTGCACAGAACCCGGCTGTCACCGCCACTCTCCAGCGCACTCTGCACTCTTGATTTAACGCCCTTGGTCTGCGCCAGTGCAAATAAAGGTTAACTCTCCCACTAACCACCGTGACCCGGCCTCGTAATTCAACAGCGGCGCTGCACAGGGCAGCCGAAAAAGCAGGTGTGCAGACGGCGCGCCCCCACCAGACCATCCGGGACCCCTTCGCCCTCCCTAGAGCCCTCTCCAGGCTGTCCAGAGCCTACGCCCAGCGCGGGTTCCTCTAGCCGCCGGGCGGACGCGGGAGAGCAAAGGGCCTTTCCGCTTAGGCCTCCGCGGGTGGGGGTGCGGGAAAGCCGGGGAGGAACACTCTCCGCTTTCCGAGGGGTCCACCCCGCGGCCCTGCCCGCTCGCGGCGCAGACACCCGTGTGTCGTTCCGGCTTAGTGGCTTGGTGTTTGCTGTGTGCATCAGAGTCCGGGTTTCCTTCTTTTTTTTTTTTCCTGAGATTTGAAAAAAAAAATGCTGAGCTTAACAGATTTTTTTCCTCGCAGCGCTTGCTCGGTGGCAGCAAGGGGTGGGGATCCGGTACGTGCTCCGCACCGTGGAGGCGTCCGGCCGCTGCAGTCAACCTAACCCGGGAGAACCATCCGGACCCAGGATGATTGACGACTCAGATCTCTAATCAATGGGGCAGCGCGGGAGACTGACAGGAATACTATCCAATGAAGAGGATTCTGGGGTGTGTCAGGGGGCGTGGCTGGGGAGCTGGAATTCTCCGCAGTTCCTAAGGGGTGGGGTGCGCTCCGAGCTGTCAAAGCTGCAAGCTCTTCCGGATTTAGCACAAAGGGGTAGAGTTTGCGAGTTTAAGGACGGGCTGGGTGGGGAGGGCAGAAGAGGATTTTTGCATGAATTGTACGCCTTATTTTGCCCTTTGGTAAAAGTCAGAAAAATTCTGCTGGAGAGTCAACTTTGCATTAGTTGTTTTTACACTCAGAGAAGCTGGCCACTCGTGGGAGGCAAGGCTTAACTTCAGCAGATGCGTGGCTTCATCTGCTGGCCGGGACTGGAGGGAGCTGAGGAGAGCAGTAGTTGGCGCGCTCAGGACTTCTGCTCTCTGGGAAGGGTGGCATTTCAAGTGGTGTGGAGGAACTGCCAGCTTACCCTGAGCTCTGAACAGCCCTGTGCACGGACAGAACAGGATTTCCAGGCGGGGACAGCTGTTTATAGATTGGAGGAGAGACGAGGGAGTGGGCTTCCTCGGCTTTTCTTGAATTCTACTTTTCAAGTAAATGGTGAATAGCAAATAGGGAAAGGGGTTGGCCACACATGTATTTCTTACCAGGACAGCCCGTGCAGGGGGGCAGGGCCCTTCCCCCGGGATAGCCCCTTCCAGTCCACTGCAAACCCTAGTTGATATTGGTCCTGGAGGAGTCAGTGGTAGCCCCTGCCTGTGACCCAGGCCTTTCCTGCTCCTTCTCCTCCCTGAGCAGTGAAGACTCCTAATTCTGTTGGACAGTAAATGGAAAATAATTAGGTGTTTTCTTTTGGGGGAAATGCTGAATTCCCATCCAACTATTTCCCAAGGCTTCAGGCCTTCCAATCAAATCTGCTTTGGAAATGTGATGTTAGAATTCATTTGGATTCTCAGTTCAGCAACATGATTCAATTTAGGGTTATATGCGTCTAAGAAAAATCTGCACACAAGTGACCAGCAGGTCAAATGCTAGACAAGAAAACGTTGTAAAACAGTAGTTAATAAAGTTAGTGTTGGTAAGAACTGCTGAGCGAATGGTGTGTCACGCACACGTCTCCTCTTCACGGCTTTAGGTATTGGAATCTAAATCATATTCCCAGGATTTCCCTATTAAGTAACCTCTGAAATGAGAGGGATTTGAGATGTCCATATAAGTGAAACCTTATTGACGTAATTTATATATCTACGAAGATTTCACTAAAGCTGGCAAGGTAACGTTTCTGCAAATAAAACACAGTAAATGCAAGGCTGGGCTCCGTGCCAGGAAGAATATGGATAGCAGAGAGCATGACAGAAGCCTCCTCTGCGCAGAGACAATCCCATTTCTAGACAACCTCCTACCACTTGCAAAATAAATGATCAGAGCGGTTATTTCCAATAAGGGGTTTACCCTTCCTAACAATGGCTCACTTATGTGGCCGCAGGAAACTGGGCTTCCTAGTTCACCTGTTTCCTCACTGCTCTCTCCACCCCCACCACCACCCCCACCCGTGTCTCCATGAACTCTGGACAGAATTCGCTTTTGCAGCCGGGGACGCAGGCAGGGAGTTGGAAACATTTTTAGCCTGTTCTTCCCTTTGAAGAATATCTGTTTCTTTGTGTGTGTGCTTAAATTGAGGTTCTTTGGAGACAAAGTTACCAGGAGCCTTCTCGTGGCTCAGACTCCCCTACCGTATTTTTTCAGGCCTGGCTTCCGATGGCGCTAGCAAGTCCCCCGTCCCCCTTGCCTGAGAGTTGGGCACGGGCGCTCGGGCGCAGGGGTGCAGCATCGGGGCGCCGGGCCCGGACCCGCCCGCCTAGAGGGCGCACCCCGCGCCCGCGCTCGGGAGGCTCACGGAGGCGCCAAAAGTTACTTGGGATGATACTGCTAACCGCAGGAAGCAGGAATCACGGGCACAGCCACCGCTGCAACAAAGGAAGTTTTTAAAGTGGAAATACCAGCATTAAATTACTTTTCCCCATTGAAAAAACAGGGCGACTTGCCAGTCTTTTTTTTTTCTCCCCTTTTTTCTTGAGACTCAAAAGTAGGAATCTTTGCTGTGTGGAAAAAGGCAGCTGCGAACGGTGGCTTTTCGCGCCCCGGAATTAAATTCCAGGCTGCGCTGCAGGAGGGCGGCTGGAGGGGGTGGGTCGGTCCTGAGCCGCAGCTTCGTTCGGGTCTCCGCGGCACGCGGGGAAGGGAAGCCGAGCTTCCTTCGAGGAACCTGGAGCCGGAATTTGCAGTTCCCAGCGAGGCCTCGGGCGAGGACCGCGTCCCTGCCCAGGAGCAGCCCCAGGGCCGAGCAGACCGGCCGCGAGGGGGTGTGGGGGTGGGGGCACTGTGCGCGGCCTTAGTGAGAAACGTGGGTCTTGGTGCAAGGGCACCGGCGGGAGCCGAGCCTGAAGCCCGTGTGCAGCAGCAGAGCCGCCGAGCGCCGGCGCGGAGAAGTTTAGGCGGAGGCCGCGGCACCGGCCGACTGTTTTGTTCTCGCTCCAGAAGCACGGTCTCTGCCCCTCACTTAGGAAAGCGCGTCTGCGCGCGGCCTTCGGCCCTGGCCTTTCCTGCCAGGACTTCCTCTGCTACCGCCCCACGACACCCCCTCGCTCCGGGGCTCAGCGGCGCGCGTTCCGCAGCCGGCTGCACGCCGCCCCGCGAGAGGAGGCGAGAGCCGGGCTCGGAGCAGGCAGGCGCGGGCAGGCGAAAAAACAAAACTGGAAAAGCAGGCTCGCTGGCCACCTGCCAAACCCTAAAAACCACCCCCTTCTCTGCCAAAACAATACTTTGGCAAACCTAAAATAATTGCAGGAAGCTCCTTTCCACTAAGAACTGTTACCTGGGGCCGGGGAGAGGGGTGCGTCAGACGCCCCGGGGTGCGCAGCTGGGGCGCGCGAGGACGGGACAGACCCTTCCCGGCGCCGCGGCCGCAGCCCTTCCTCCCGGGCCGGGCGCGGTGGCTCCGGGCGCCCGGGGTTCCGCAAACGGCGCAGGGGCTCCGGTGCCCGGCTCTGGCCCAGCGAGGGCGCGCCCGTCACCCAACCCCCGCCCGGGGGCTGCGCCGCAGAAGTTGGCTGGGCCCGCGCACGGGCACGCGGCGCGCAGCACCCAGTGCCCGGGTCCGGGGTGCAGGGTTCACACAGCGCACACGCGCGCCGCCGGCCAGTCCCCGCCACGGTCCGCGCAGGTCTGCGGCGGTGGGGGAGGGGCGCGGAAAGTAGTTTGTCGCCGGGCGCAGGCCGCG